CTGTCCCATTCTGTGTTTTGCAGTAAGCGGCTAATGCACTACAACAATTTGCTAAACATCTTCAAATTTCCGGACTTCCTCGCCCTTCGGTTTGCACTTTTCTTCCAGTCAAGGGGAACTTCGTACTGATAATATAGCTCTTGCGAGCAACCATCTAAGTGTCAACCTCTGTAACGATTATAAGAGTTTTGAATGCAGGGGCGTGTGGCCTTCTTGTCCTACCACACGCAACGAAGCTGTGGACAAGAAGGGGAAGCAGGGACTGATCATCCCTGTGTACCTGCACCTTCAACTGTTGCCCACGCTGTTCCACTCCTTTGGTTTGATTCATGGTTTTTCATGTGATCCTTCCCCCAAAACAGGTTTCCCACCGCAGTTTTCAGCCGCTCGTGAATTGCAGCCAGCCGCGCGAGAGTTTGACAGCTGAGCACAACAATTGTTCAACACTTCAAGTGACCTGACTTTCTCGCCTTGCTGTTCCCTCACCTTTTTCCACTTGGGAATAGATTAATTGAAAACCAATGTCAGAGTGTGCCCCCCTCCGTTTCCAGGAGTTTGTTTCCTATTCAGTCGGCAGGGGGGCTGCCTGACTTGTAACAGTGGCAGTCCAACGAAGAGGCTGTTACGAGTCACTGATATGGATTCTGGACACAGAATCCACGTACCTGCTGACCAACGCACTGACTCCAATGGTTCACCCTGCCGCTGTTTGTTGTTTCATGGTCCTTGCACGATATACCCCTAAACCCTTTTCCAGCTGAAGTGTCGCTGCGCCACCGCAGCCTGCCGCGCGTTTGTTGACCGCCGATTGCAACAATTGTTCAACATCCCAAAAGTGCTGACTGATTTACCTTGCGTTTCCCTCATCCATTTCATCGTGGATCACTTACTGGATGAACCCTGTGACTAAGTGTGTGTGTGTGTCCACTCCTGTTTCCAAGGACACTACCCTAGTTTTTCTAATCTACCCTACAAGTCTTTTTGTACAGATGCAGGGGGCATGGCAGCTGTTTCCCTAGCCATGCCAACGAAGCTACGGGATTCAGCCGGAAGGGAATGTGGACGCACATTCCTGTACCTGCAACGTGAACTGTTTTCAAGCTGTTCGACTGTTTAGTCGCTGAGATTTCTAAGTCAGTGCAACGCTGTCTCATACGTTGTTTTCTGCAGTATCTAAATTTAAAGGGCTAATGCACACCGCGAAGCTACCTGAAATCACGCTCCACGGAGCACCCTTCTCAAGTGTGTGTGCGTGTGCGCCAGCTTGCGCTGTGAGGCTGTGGCCCAACTGACGGCAGTGGGTATGTGTCCGTGGCTATCAACAAGTTGCAGGTGTTGGCCTGTGGCCTGCTCCACTGGTTTACAAATCTCTTAGTGATTCCTTGGACAAAGTGAATATGCCTCCGGAAGCTGCAAAGCGGTACACGTTGTTTTCTCCATGAGGTCCATGAAGCGACTGTTTCCCTGTTCACACCACGTGGCTGGTGCGTGTGAGGGATACTTGGCTGGCAGCGGCGGCGGCTGTGGCTCGTAGCTGCTATCCAATGGCCAACCAACCTAGATCGCTCAATCAGGCTTAAAGACCATCTGGATGGAATGAACCCATCAAAGAGCCCAACAATCCCAACATATGCCCTGCCTTTACCTCGTGCCGCTACATGTCATTACACGCAATGGTATCAAAACTGTCATTCATGAGTCAGAACTGTGAGTGTTAGTTGGCCAGTCCTTGAATGAGCACTCCACTGCAGTTAGAGCAAGAGCATAGATCCGTTCTACCAGCCGCGGTAGGGCTGGCGAAAACCCTCTCGGGTCGGTCACCTTTTGTTATGCTATTGCAAAATCATGTGAGCCGCATTTGGTCCATGTAGCATGACTTCAGTGCTACCTTGGACCCAGAGTTGCCAAATGTTTGCCTCTGCCCAGGTTAACAGGAAACAAAGCCAGCTGCTCCAAGACAACCTCCCACTTTCGACCCAAGGCTGTCAAAAGGTCAGGTTCACCTTCAACCCCAGGAAGGTCGCCACCATGCTTTGACTGATGCCCACTGGCAACTCAAAACACGCCACCACTCACCATCAAGCAAGCCAAGCCACCCCACAGTTTGCGGCAAATGTCGCCTCAAGAAAGGGAATGAGCCTGTGCATTCTGTCTGCAGGGGCAAAACTTACTAAGTGTCCCACCTTCATGCCCTTCGTGTAGTTCAGCAGGTTGACGGAGAATGGACAGGTGCCACGATAGAAATAGGGTGCAGAACATGTACCGCTTTGCCTAAGCTCCACCCAGCTAGGAGCTGCCAGGCAAGTTGCGTAGGCATGTGTAAGCAACCTGCTATATACTTCTTATCATCAAACAAATCCCTATCCATCACAAACACGCCACACAGCGTCAACCAATTGATCAGTGGTCTTCCGTTCACCAGTCGTCTATATATACTATAAGCCGTTTAACAAGTGGGAACAGTACATGACTAATGAACTGTCACATGCAGTAATATAGAGGAAGTCCATGGCAGCGCGCTTTCCCAACGTCTCCGAATGCATCTTTCTAAGCAAGTACCTCACAGAAAGGTCTAGCTTGTTGGTCATGGAAGCCGCTCGTGATCTTTTCGCCTTCTGCGAGGATGACTTGGTGACCATCTAGGTCACTGCCCCCGTGGAGGATCGTTGGATGTGTGATACCGAGGGCGGCCCAGCAGGTCTCTTGACCCGTGCAACCACTTGCAATGAAACTGAGCAATAAATGTAAGCCTAGCATGTGAATTCTTTGGACATCTTTAAGGGGATAACCCAAGGGCTCTGGGACAATCAACTACAAGCAATAACAAATCTGTATGCGTCCATATGATTTGTCGACAATGCAATCAATCACGTTTGGCCCTTCATGATCATCATTGCCCTTCTGGACTCCCCTTAGACACGAAGCCATACGTGAACTTCCCACCTCTTCAAAAAATAAAAGCCTTTGCGCCCTGCAAGCCTAAGGCTCCTCGGTCAGCAAAGTTGATCGAAGTTCATAGATCAGGGCAAGGTTCGCAAATGAGCTTCAGCAGATTGAGCACAAAAGACATCACAGCATCCTTCATTCTGCTTTCACATAATGTTCATATGAGCTCTGCAAAATACGTATGATTAAACCCCTATGCCGCATAACGTTCTTACGCTCCTGCTTACGCCTTTCTTACGCGACCACAACGTGAGCTTACGCGCCACGGATGTTGAAGAAGACCTTACGCAGATCTTACGCATCTGCATTTTCACAGATGAGAACCATACTCCCAAGGGAAATGCTTACGCGAAGGCTCCTGTTTGCAGGTGAGCGGGCGACAAACACATGATCACCAAGACTCCGAATCAGCAGAGGAAGCAAAGGATCACTAGCATCTACTTACTGGCTGCTATAGGCAAATGAAAAGTTGGCTTACGCGAACCTTACGCGGAGCTTACGCGAACCTTACGCCACCAAACCCTCACCAAACGGAGCCTGGCACGTTATGACATGTTATGATGGGGCTGACTTGAGAAAGGTTTGATACAGAGTTGCAAACACAAACAAGCACAGTGCACACACCTGAAACACAGTGCACACAAATGTCAGTTCCCAAGGGTTTCAAAGCTCTCATGGTCCATACAGTTCCTTTCTTGACAAGTGTGTGCTAAGAATCTACTAATGAAAACACAACCATATGGCAAGCTTACGCAACATGCATGTCTCACAACTCCCTTACGCAACCTTACGCTCTTCAGCTTTTTGCTTACGCCCAAGTTCCATATGACAAGGCCTTTACTTGGTTCATCTTGGGAGGTTTCTTGCGGTGCTCATATAGAACCAGAGCTGCCAAGGAACAAGTTGCCACGACACTGCGACTATGTCAATGAGCAAACAAATGACGCATTTTTATGCTCATGAGCAGTTTACCTGTCAAAGATGGCAGGGACGTCGACGAATTCGGGACCATTTGCTGCTGCACCATCCAAAACGATTCTTCCAATGATGAATTACGCGTCGACATCATGCTCCGCCATTCAATGTCATGTTCTTTGCCCCCGTATGGTTTTGATCCATAAGATTGGCATCCACAAGGTCTTGGCAACAAAAAAGCCAAACGATTATCAAGGAAGTGCTCTGCCATCTCCAAACTAGGTGAGTAACTTTCGCAAATAGCCATCCTAACCGCTAGATACCGCTAGGATGGGGTTGAAAGCTCATGTATTATAGCAGCTGTGGTCTTGGATTATCATTACTCACAGGGAGAATCCAACTTCAAGTGTCCAAAAGGGTGATGAAGGTGTGACCGCAATTCACCAAGATCGACACCTGAGAGTCTCTGAAACACTGCTGTGGGATCTCAAAACGCGCCGACTCGCTCAGCCTGTGCAATTGAAACCTCCACTGTGACACATCTTCATTCTTCATCTAACATCGTACAACAATTTGGAATCTGATCCCACCCGATGCACCCCTCAAAGCGGTTTCGCCTGAGCTTGTGGTGTCGCTGCCTGGAACATCTGAGCGACCATCGGCTGCGTCACCCTCAACGGGTTCATGAAACCCAGCAGAGGTGACTTCCTAGGACGGCGAGCAATTTTTGGGCGATCTGCCTTCCATCACCCATCCAGACAGCACATGTCAGAAGACACAGGTAGGAGGGTACTATAGTAGTATAGTCTACTTATGATTCATGTGATCAATATCCGTGTGAACCCATGTGATCACGAGTTCAAGTGTCTCTCCCATTTAAGTGTTGAGCACCCTGGACAACTACAAATCCACATACTTTGCCCCACTCAATGCTGTCAATGCATGTTGGTGCGTGTGGGGGGGGGCAATCCCCATCAGAGTCTTTTTGAACACACTTTGTTACTAGTAGCTTCTTGTTCCTGGTACTAAGGCCAGGAGCGCCCCTAGTAGCGTCCTTGCTCCTAGTAGTACGGCAAGGAGCCCCTAGTAGCGTTACTGGTTAACAACAAGTTGTATATATTTATATATGAGCTCAAGAGGTCGGCAAGCCAGGTTCGACCTCTTGTCTTTGCACCGTTCGTGTCTGTCGCGAGCCTTGGATGGTGGTTTGTTTGTCTCTATGGTGCTCCACTTGGCCCCTGCTTTGCTTATAAACTATAAGTTATAAGGGTGGGCTCGGGCCATCCCAAGAGCCATGGCGAAGCCAACCCATTCCGAGAGTACACTAGTAGCAGCCGCCTACTCAATTCGCCCCCGAACATGAAACTTTCTGAGTTTAACATGTGACTAGACTACGCAGGCCTTTTGCTCGGACTGACTCTGCGGCCGAGCCGAGCCACTCCTGCAAGGAGTGTCCTCGCTGATTGCATCGGAGAAATGATCTTGATACCACGGAGTGAATTCTGGTGCTCCTGAAATCAGAGGTTGGCAAAATTTGGCGACGGCCCTAGCCTAGCACCTGTCTTCAGAATCAAAGGTCCGAGATTGAGCGGGAAGCTCAAGGAAACTTGAGGCCGAGGGTAGGTGACGAAAGCTAGCAGGGGTGCATCCGGACTGGTGGGACATCAAGCGGAGTGAGGCAAATGCTCATGAGGTTGTGAACATGTAAGACACACAAACAGCAATGACACAGCCAACCTTAGAATTGAAGTCCCCGATAATTAAGGAAGCGTGGCTGGACTTTGCCACACTGTTCGATGCATCCGATGTGTTCACGAACCTGTGAGCTTGTTGAATCTGTTGCGCTGTATCCCAAAACCTCCACGGAGGAGTTGAACCAGTGTGGATGCCATAAGAGGTGCCCAAGAGGTGTCCCAGAGGCAAAACAAAGCTGCTTGCATGATTTGTTTGGTTTCTTCTATCGATGTCGATGTCATGAACATGTGAGCTTGTTGAATCTGCTGTTGGATCGTCATGTATATGTAATGAGGGACTGAAGAAAAGCAACGCAGCATCATGAGCATCACGGGAAGTCACAAACCAGGCGTATCAGATACACCTGGCTTATGTATGTTTGTTTGAGCATCTTTGTCGAGTGAAGTGTCAGCCATATGCACTGAGATGCCGAAGGAAGCTCAAAGGCACGTGTACCTGATACGCCTGGTTTCTGACTTCCCGTGATGCTCATCATTGAAGCCTTGAACCCTCGCGTAAATTTCATGTTTCATGCCCCCCCCTTCCAAACTCAAACAGTGGCCTACTTCACCTGCCACCTAAACATAGCACTATAGCACGTACCGGAAGCGTCCCAGGGGGGAGTTGAACCCGCGGGGGGGGGGGGGCCCCCCCTACACGTGAAGTTTTCACGTGATTCATGATTCTCGAGGCTGCGAGCCCTTGACTTGCTAAAGCAAGAGCAACTCCAGCTAGCTGATGCTAGCTTTCGTGACATCCAAACAGTCCAGCCGACACCATACAAGTGCAAGGTTTGGCTTTAAGTGGGATGAGTATTCAGCGACTGTCGTTTAGCGGTCCTTCTTCGCCCTGCCACTATCAGCACTAGCATAATGGGCATTGGCTTGTTCTTGCACCCAGTTGTTGACCACTGACCTACCACTTCGCAAGCAAAGGCAAGCATTTCGTGGCCAAAGGCAGATTCAAGCAACTTCGACTGCTACTCCTCAACATATACGAGGCTGTGATAGTTACATCATTCTTCGCAACATTGCCTTCCACATGTACCCAGTATCAAACATTCACGGTTCTCGCCTGTAGTTGGGCTTGACCCATTCAAGAAGCTTTGGCATTGCCTCCATGGGACATTTGTGCGTCTGTGCAAAATCCAAGTGGACAGAGTAGATCACGAAGTCATCAGATCTGACGTCCACCACAAAGTTGACATTCCTGATGCCATTCGCAGAACCGTTCTGCCCCAGAGCCGTGTGCCGCCAATGACCCGAACAAGGTTCCCCGCTTATGACCCGAACAAGACGCTTCAGCATACGAAGGCGGACCAGGTTGTTCGTCTTGCTGCTGGCCTCTTGGGAGCTACGAGTCCTCGCAGTGTCAAATAGCACACGACTCAAGTGCTCCCTTTCCGATGTGTTTCATGTTTGCTTGATTCATTCTCGATACTTAGCAGATCTTAGCAGAATCCGCCTCCTTAAGATAAAGCTATTGATTGAAATACTTGGAATCAAACATTTTGCCACAGTCTCTCGGGCGCACGGGAGTTGCATCCGGGTTCCTTCCATCACTCTCTGAAGACGAACGGTTGAGACTAGGCTGCTCTGCTCTTCGCCTTGGCCACCAGGCTAGCAGCAACTGATAGTGACATGATGTCTGCCAAAGCGGATTCAAACAAGAAGTAG